CCAATATAATGAGCCCCTCTGGATGGTTTGAATGTGATGCCATTGTTCTACTCAGGGCCATTAAACCACCTCCTGGGCAAACAAGAGCGTCCCTCTTCCTTTATGAGGCCCAAGAAGGCAACAAAGAGAGGAGTCATTGAGACACAGAGGGGCCGCCCTTTGTTTGGTGTCCTTTTTGCTGCTCCTCAATGCCTGGGCTGGGAAGGGGAGGCTCCTGATGGTCTTTAGCACCCCTCATATCGTCACAATCCCTTGTTTGTGCAAAGTGGAGATGTGAACTTAATTGACTTGAGTGGCCCCTGTGCAACAAGATCCAAATAAGATGGCACAAACAGAGGTATTGTGACTGCGAATGTGCGGTTGGTTTTCTTTTCAGTGTCAACATCCAAATGATGCCCTGGCCTGGAGGATCCGCGCGATGTGACACCTGCCTGAATGTTATAGACCAGGATTCAGTGAAAAGTTTATAACTTACAACTACTTACAACTTTATATATCTGAAAATAAAACACAAATTCTTCAAGGCAAAAAATGTATTTAGCATAAACCTTTTCTACATTCAATATCTCATTGTATCTGAGCTACAAAAGTGTGAAAAGCAATAGAGTTATGTTTTCTGTTCCAAAGGTATTCCTTAGCTGTATGAATGCAGACTGTGGATTACATCAAATAGACAACATCAATGAATGACCCATGCATCTTTCCTTTGTAGCCCTCACGCCAGCATGGATATGTATTTATTTTAGTTTACAAAGACCACGAAGGGAGACGTTATTGAGGACTCTTAACAAAGCAGGCGGGCTTCCCCTAACCACAGTTTTTAACTTTGAGCAGGTGCCACACGTTGGTCTCTCGAGGAAAGGTTAAGTGTGCCATAGACTGCCTGCTGCCACCATGTCATCCATCCTGTAGTCTAATCGAGTTATCATATCAACAAATCTCTCGTCAGGGGCCCTGCGCCTGACACCAGCAGAAAGAAACCCAGAGGGGGCCGACAAATTTGGAGCAGCAGGGCGCTAGCAAAAGACGCATGCCTGCTGCACTAGTGAAAGGTACCTGCGGCCGCGGTCAAGCTCCCCAGTGGGAACGCTGCTCATGCTGGGCACCACGCTGGGTAGTTATTCCATTGGACTGTGTTTGGTGGGCAGCTCCATTCTGCAGGCTCGTGTCTGAGCACATATCCCGCTGGGGACACACTTCAGAGAAATAGATCTTGTGATAAAAAAATATACAATTGAAATAAATAAGTCATAAAATTATTTTGACATTTGGTTTTGTTTTAGAATAATTAACTAAGATTACATCTGATGAACACATGAACACGTATATGTAAAACACAAAAGGGGTGAGAATCTAACAATCACACTCCAGACCCGTGGTTTTGGACCTGGGTTGAAAGCACAGTCAAACTGACTCAGCGGCCAGTGGGAATGAATGGGGCGACCAGGTTTTTTTTTGTTGAGAACTGGGGTTTGGTCAGTGTGAAAACCCCTATACACACATGTTATGGTCTGCCTTCAGAGTGGCACACGGAACGCACAGGGTCAGTGTGGGAAGGGGGCAGTGGAGTTGGCCCAAGAGTTGACCTGCAACTCCACTGCTACCTGCTGCTAAGGCACAAAGAGTGTCGTGGAGAGCTGTGTTCAGAAGAAAAGCTATGCAGAGAATGAGTCAGCTCCAGCTCGTCTGAGAAGAAGACTCTGCTCTATCCTCCATGACCACTCTGTCATCCATGAATACCATTTACGCCGCAGGAAGTCTATTCTCAGAGGGACCCCCTGGTCTCACGGCTTCGCCTCAAACTCTCGCCACATTCACAGGAACCCCTCTTGTTGTTACGTAGTGCCGCATCCCTTTCTCTCTTTTTCTATTCCTTTTACAGGCTATATGCAGAGGGATGCTCCCCCAGCATTGCAAATTGATTAAGGCGCTTAACATTTATTACATGATGGTGGACGATAGGCGTGGTGGAGATAGAACAGGGATTGTGCTGCAATAAGGAATGCAGCCCCATCTTTTATCGTTATCGTTGTCACTGCAATATGCACGTGAAGGATTCAAATGTGTTAATTAGCAGCTGCTCAAAGTAGATTAAACTGACAAGTATAACTCACTTATTGTACACAATAAACACAAATAAGCAGCACTTAACAATGCTCAACAGAGAAAGCAGAAAAGTAGCCGAAGACGAGTTTCATGGCGTGAAGCTGCATCTATTATTTGAGAAGTCTGAGCAAATGTAACAGTGTCATCAGCAGCCTTTTACCTAATGTAATGCATGATGAGTGTTGGGAGAAGGCACAGACTGACTGTGGGGAGGAACAAGGGGAGCCTCCAGAGGGTTTACACACACTTTGCTGCCTCAAGCTTCTGATATGACACGTTTTAGTCACAATTGCAATTGTTCGTATAATATGAAGAGCAACTAGAAGCAATATTTTGTCAATTAATTACATTTACACTGAACATCACAACAACACAGCATGTTCCCAACTGTTTTTAAACAAATCAGAACAAACATATTTTTGTGTTCTGTATTTCTTTCTTCTTCAACTATATTTATCTTTGTCCATAGTATTAGATTTGGAAACTTCAATGTATTGATGATTTAGTTTTCATTACATTGTAATGTGTAATGTTGCTGTCAAAACATGGGTGTGATTAAACCATTCCAGGACCTCAGTCCAGCCATGCCACTTAAGACGACTTATACTTGCTTCTTTATTCTGCTTTATTCTGCTAAAGATAGAGATTTTATTTTATACTTACTTCTTATTAAGCTAAAGCTAGAAATGTTAACTTACTTCATTGTTCATGCTAAAGTTTGAGATTTTATTTTAGTATAGAGTGATTGTTTTATATCTTGTGTTGTGTGTTCCTACTGTTCTGTAACCGGTGATGCAACACTGAAATTTCTCCACTGTGGGACGAATAAAGGATCTCTTTGTCTTAATCTTAAAGAGGACTCAAAGCATTGGGAATCCAATTTAAGCTTTCTCCAACACTGCATGCAAGTTATGATAACCACAACACTATGGCCTGCTGAGTTCTCGATGTGACGTGTGCTTTAGACCCACGCCAAGCCAAGACTCCTCCGCGTCTGAAAGGGAGGGCCACATTGAAAAGCAAAATGCTCTCATTCAGGCGGATCTTGAGTCACAGTGGTCAGTCTCCCTTCTGTTCCTGCATTCACCTTGTGCTGGGAAACTGCTGAGGTCTGCAGGTTCCTAACAGGCAAAAGGGGGACAGGGGAGGTGGTCAGACTTTTGCAAAATAAAGAGCTTTGTCAAATTTGGCATGGCCCAGACATGGTTTAAAGATGCTGTTTTACTAATAGCCCGCGTCAGCAGAAAGACAAAAGGGAACTTAGCAATTATTAGATTTAATGCCTGGCTTCAGTGAATGGGGAAGTCCCAATGGTGTCATTGTAAGTTGATGGAGACACAAGGGGTGAGCCCAGGTTCAGCCTGCAGACCAATGCCCAAGCCTGGAATAATTAACCAACCAAAACCATTAATTTTGACTCATGACAGCGTTAGAAACAATACAGACTGACCAATCATTAAAGAGTGACAGCTGTGGGACAAGCATTTGTCTTAAGGAGGTGGAGCAGTGGTCATTAAATCTTAATATATCAATCACAAATTCAACAAAGATGGACGGGTCTTCAATGAAAGGGAAAGTTATAGTTCTAGCTGACTTAGCATTATCTGTGAGATGCAAAAAACAAGCCTCAGTACTGTTTAAGTCACTGAAGTAGACCATACCACCTGTATGGACTTAAACAAAATTCCTTACAGAAAAATATATATTCTACCGTATCTATGATCTATGGAGCAATCAGAACACATTAAGAGTAATCAGAATCTCTATGATAGCTGAAAACATTTACAAACAATAAAGACTACACAGACCTGGTACCAATGTAGTAACTCTACATTATTTTTCAGATAAAATGACACATCCTTACAAGCAGTGGATTTATCAAAACCCATCATTAAGATAATAAATATTTTAGGACTCTGTGCTTTGCTCGTCAAAGAACCCAGACCATCAGTAGGTCCAGATGAACTTTCTCCACAGGGCATAATATATTTTGACTCTTCAAGATAAAGTGTAAAACTCATCCAAATTGTACTGTACATCATAGGGCCCAGGGCTTTACACTTTTGGGAGGTGTTAAGTAATAGTTTGTCTCTTCTTCTATCTTATACAATTTCCTGATCACCTCTGGGTCTGATAAATGACAGACAGCTGATGAAAGGTGGTTGCTACCTGAGGGAAACCCTCTCACTCACTGTCTCAGCCAATGGTTTATAACAATTCAGTGATATGAGAATTGATATAATGTTTTAGTGAATTTAAATTTGTAGAAATGAAAAATATGCCCCAATTGAGATTGTGAGATCCTTGATAGAAAAATATGCATATTTTTGTCAAAATCAAAGACAACCACATTTTAGAGTTTTTCTAAAGTTTACATGCTCTGTAAAATGTATAATTATAAATCTTTAAACTCTAAAAACATTAAGTCCAATCATAAAGTTTGCTTTATTTCCAGTACAGTTTTTCTTTACAAAACGGTACATTCATGTGTTCATTGAGTTTCATTTGTAGAAGTACATGTCAAATGCTGAAAGAAGTTAACATGCATAAGGCCCGATGTGTTTGGAGCCTCCTCCCACAGAATGCTGTGGACCCCCTGGCACACACGCCACCTTCACTTTCCACGCTGCTCACTCTAAGAACGCAGATCTCCCCGGTGCCCTGGCCTCCCCCTACCAGTGCTTTGTGTGCCCACATAATCTCCCAAGCAAAGAAATCCTCCCAGGTGGTCCCATTCCAGTGATCTGTCCTTCTGTCCCTCATACTGGCTCCCTGCATCCTCCTCTCCCACATGGGGACACAAATACACCTCCCTGGCAAAGATAAATCGTTTTAAGAACCATGATGGGGCGAAACCTGACACTCCTCTGCTCACAGTTACCCCCTGGTTGCCTTCATTCCTCGAGGACTTTCTTTTTACTGAGGCCAGGGCTGTGAGCCGCTTCAAGCTCCATTAGCGTCGCAGTGGTGTGTGCTTTCTCCTGTTTATGCGTGTTTGTCTTTCCCTGCACTGGAAAGAAGTTCAAAGGGGTTTGTCTCAATAGTTCTCCAGTCAACCTAATCCATAAGGGAACGTCCTGGGACAACAGCACCAACGGACAGTCTAGGTTTAAACCAAGGTCGCCCAGCACGGGACAGGCCTAATGCCCACACTCAGCAGGATGGCCTGGTTCAGGGTTTCTCCTGGTGTACATTTAAGGCGTGGTTCTCAAATGTTTTACACCAAGTACCACCTTTAAATATCACATTATTTTATATAGACATGGAAAAGAAGTAGAAAGGGCAGCACAGTGGCTGAGTGGTTAGCCTGATCGCTCATCAGAAATAAGGTCCCAAATTCAATTCCATCTCCAGGCGGGGCCTTACTGAGTGGAGTTTGCATGTTCTCCTTGTGTCTGCGTAGGGTTCCTCTCTCTGGGGCCAGGTTTCCCCTGAAAAGAGAATCTGAAATCTCAGTGGTTAAATGAAGGTCAAAAAACAGACCTGGGGGCACCCTTCTCCAGGAGTAGTACAAGTAGTACAAGCCAGGTTTGCGAAAATGCAAGACCACTCATCAGGTGTTCATGTTCATGTTTTATATTGAAATGTCAGAAAAACAGCAGCATGTGGAGAAAAAAAAGAGCGCAAAACATTTGACCAGAATGTTTCTTTAGCTCCACTTTGTTAGCATTGAAAATATTGGTAGATTTAGAGATCCTTTATTCGTCCCACAGTGGGGAAATTGCAGTGTTACAGAACAGCAGGAATCAGGAGTAGACAGCACTAGATAAATTAACAATATACTAAAATAAAGATGATACGATGAAATAAACACTTCAACTCTCTAACTAAGAAGCATCTCTATGATAATTTTTAGCAGAATGAGGGAAGAAGTCTTAAAAATTCAATTTTTAGCATGAACTACAAAAACCCCTGACTTAGCTTCATAAGGAGTATAAAATACTGCATACTCGAGTGCATGAATATATAGTTGTGTGTACTGTATACATCTGCACATGTTAGCAGCATGTGTATGTACAAGCCTTTTCCACCATCAAAATGCAATGAACATATAAACCTGCATCTGGAACTCTTCTTCTTGCCCACAGTGAGTGTTTTGTTTTGTCAATGGTGTCATTTTCGGACCATCCTAAGCGCTAGAAAATAATAGAAAAATGCTTCCTCTGGCGATCAATCAGGATATATTGACTATGAATCGCAAAGCTTGGCAGTGCTTCATTACCCCCGGATGAGATGCAGACTGTGCGAGTGGAAGTAGTCAGCCAGTCAAAATTCAACAAATTCCTCTATTCAGTTCAGGTAACCACAAAAACATTCTTCATATGGTATTATGTCATTGATCAGAAGGTTAACAGTGTCGTCAGCAGCATTAACGTAACCACAACTTTTTTAACCATGTGTCACTCTTATGAGGAAAATGAAAAAGCTAGCGTTTTTATAGCACCAACCTCTGTATTTAAACAAATCCAACATGGACAATCGGCTGGTATTCCGCCCTAGGCGTTCACAATCACAACATGAAAAGGCCATGACAAAATGAAACCCATTATGATTAATTAGTGGCTGCCCTTTTAAAGCATACAGACCTGCGTGCTGCTGGAGCGCGCAGTGTGTGTGATTCAGACCAAATGCCACTGACAGCTCCCACGCTACAAAGGAAAGAGAAGATGGGAAGAGGAGAGGCAGAAAAGGTGAATGTGCCCCCTTCTTTGAAAAGAAGGGATGTTGGAGGATGAAGAAGGGAAAATTGGGGTTGGGTTTGAGGCAGTGATGAAAGGATCTTCTTTTCTCTCTGCCAGGATCCACATGAGCATTCTTCAGGCTCACCCGAGCAGAACCCGCACTACTTGCACACTGGCACGCGCACACACACACTCATGTACGCAAACACACACACACACACACACACACACACACACAAACATGGACACACGCAGACCGCCTACTGCTATAAGTCTCCCTGATGTCCTCCATATCCTCAGCCCCATTATCGCACACCTGAAGCTTCGCCTGCTGCCTGATGGGCCGCCTGCTGCCCTCAGCTCATCTGTCAGCACGCTGCTATGGTTACTGCAGCTTAAAGCCCTCACACACTGATGGAAACAGATAAGGAGCGCTGCACTTAAAACACACATGCATCCAGTTAAACACAGATGAGCTCATCACAGCTTGTAGCAGCAGGTAGCAGCCTTTACTTACCCGCACATGTGGGAAGAAT